TGTGGAGAGCTTCATTGTGCTGCATTCATTTTAACCTCTTCTGCCACCAAGGAGAGCTGTAGTTTCACCCTTTTATTTTTTAAGTTTCACCGTTTTAAAGGGCTCTTGTCTTTGTAATTTCCTAAGGGCTGGTTTTCAGGTTTGCCTTTAGTAAGAGAGCAGGGGACAGTACTCAGACAGCATATAACTAGGTTGAGTCATTTGAGCACCAACTTTAGGGCAAAGTTCCATAGAGCTAATTCTCTGCCCTGGGAGAACAGGCCACATGAGAGTACCTGGTACCTGGATTATGTGGCTGTCAGAAAATAGAATCATGATTATTAGTCAGAATTCATTTCTACCCCTGCATTTGCATCGTTAAGTACAAACATCCTAAATATTTGTTTGCTTAGACCTAAAAAGGATGCTGAATTTAAGAGGAAGAACACATGGTTAGTGGGAAAGGAAGAGAGGCAGTTATTGGTAATTGAAGGTGAAAGACCCTTTAGTCATGGGGTTTGGGGACATAGTTGCTGTAGAAAATCAGGATCACTTAATTCTGCTTGTGCCCAGAGAACTGATGTCACCTGTGTTTTTTGAGATGTTAGACGTGAGCCTTCAGTGATTTTGGGGTGGAAAGCTTCCCTCTTAAATGGTGGTGGTGGGGGGTTAGTATTAGATATGAGCGGCAGGCCAGTGAGGTCAACTCTCAAGACAGTGATCTCTCCTCATACACCTTTCTGCTGATCCTTAGTTTAGAGAACCTGCTGATAGTTTGCTTTAGGTAGAACTGGTAATTTGAGTTGGTGGTAAAGGGCATTTCAGAGAAGCATAGTTTGCAGTCCAATTACCTGGGATCCCTGGACAGGAAATGGTTTTTGTTTTAAAAAGTTGCCCCAGGAGTTGCTTTATTCCCAAATTTCTGGTGAGATGGGAGGCAGAAGGAACGGCTGCTTTAACCTAAGGCTGGGAGTGGCCTATGTTTTCCCAGACAAAACTGACTTGGCTTATGTTATGTGCGACATGGAAGCAGCACTAGCAGTAGTGTTTTCTCTGGTGTGGTTAGGCTGCTTTTACTTTTCCTGACTTGCTTTCTTGAATGGTTTGATCCAGTCTGTCAGATTTGTTTGTTTCACTCAATAGGGTTCTGATCTTTGTGGTTCCTTGGCCCTTGCTGCTAGGTATGAAGGTGGTTGAATCTGTGCGTGGAATCTGATTATTGGGACTATTCATGCTTTTCTCAGGGCTTGGGTGATTGTCTTTGCCCTTAAGTAAAAGGAAATGGAGGTCTAGGTGTCTTGGTGGGTAGTTTTATTTGGGGGTGGGGTGGCTTTTTCAGAAGAAAGCAGAAATAACAGGAAACATTGGTTCTGTAAGCTGGTTCTGGTGCTGAATTGTGTGGAATGGGTGTGACCTATGGGTTTTGGATTATGAGCCCTCTGGTGTTTGCTGCATTTACTGATAGTTTCTGATGGATGAGGATTTGAGAGCAGTTCCTAGTTAGTATTCTAGAGTAATGTGAAAGAATAAGTAAAATCTTGAACTACTGAAAATGGTCTGTCATCTTGAAAGTGTTTTTTTTTTTTTTGAATTGGGATTTAGATAACCTAAAATGAGGAGCAGTGTAGCTCCTCAGTGTGTGGGAGAGTAGTGTGCTTGCAGATCTGATCTGTTTTCTGTTAGGTCTTCAGCTTTCTCCCTATCACAATTTTGGGCCTCCTGCATTTTAGTGACTTTGGTTGTAGCACTGAGGTGTCATGGGTAGAGTGACCAGGAACTAAGGTTTATGGTTCAGGCATTAGATTGACGTATTCACTAAATCTTTGGGGTGGTGTATTTCCAGTCTTATCTGCTATGGGTAGTTTAATCAGGTCTCATCACACTAATCTTCAGAAGCTGAACTCTTGAGATTTGGGGTCACATCTTCTATCTTCCCTCCAGGTCTCTGACTCTTCTTTCCTATCCTTGGGCCCTCAATACTTAAAAAGCCTCTTTGTTTAATTTTTATTTTAGTCTTTTGTAATCTTAGAGGAAAGTTTGCATCAAAATTTGCACTGCCCCATGCAAGTAAAGACATGATGTGTACATGTTATTGAGAAAGTTAGTGCCAAGTGGATCTTGCCTAGATCTGACTTCAGACCTTGAAGAAATTTATCAGGCCTTCAGTCCTGTGATGCTAGCAGTTAAAGGAGCTATTCAGCATCCTTGAGAAAAGTACCTATCTGACAGCAGGAATTTGGGTCTGGAAATAGTACTCTCTGCTTCTTGGACTGTGGCTTATCCCTGAAAGTTGGAGCTATAGTTAGCTGGAGAGAACTTCAGTGGAAGAATTGAGGTACCACCAGTGTAAGGACTAAGGAAAGGAGTTTGCCTATATTGAAGATAACGAAATTTCCTGCTAGGGTGGGGGACCATACTAGAACAAGGTAAGTTGAGTGTCTGGGAAGAAGGAACCTTTGAAAGGCTCAGGAAGCTAGCTTTGCGGGCGCCATCCTGCATGCACCTCAAGGTGGCAGTGTTGCATAATCCCCTGCAGCTGTTCAGTGTCCATGTAGTCCCAGGGAAAGCTAGTCTACCCTGTGTACATACTCCTGCATAAAAAGTAAGGCATGTGAGAAAGCCTCTACAAGGCTGTGAGTATGAGAAGTTTTCTGTACAGCAGTGTCTTTTGAGTTGGACTCTCATGAATCATTGACAACTTATTTTTGCATGTGGATTGTAATTTATAAGGAGGCCCAGGTGGGCCCAGAGCTTTCTGGCTCAGCACACTTGGCAGACTTGTTTCCTGTTCATTCCTTTCATGTTTCCCAACTGCAAAAATTTCCCGCCAAAGAGTGCAAGCTAGGGGTTAAGAAAGTGGTCAGCCACGGAAGGGTAATTATTACAGGCCCAGCCAACATTGGCTTTAGCTTTTCTCAGTCCTTGTTTTGCATGGAGATTTGAGCCAAAAAAAATGTTTCAAGTATTCTGAGCCATGGAGGGGCTGGGAATAAGAATAGCCTAGTGGAGAATATTGCTGACACTGATAAGCCCTTGCCTAAGGCCAGTTCAGTTAAAAGTGCTTTTATGAACACACTGGCCTCTTGTCAGCTGTTGAGATGTAGAGCAGGAATTTGACCTTTACATTTAGTTGCTATGCTGTGCTTTTTGCTTAAATTGTTGGCCTTATCTCCATGAGAATTCGTAGGTTCCCTTGAAGTTTTTGAAAATCATGTCAACCCTAGGTATCCAGTCAGTACCTTTCACATGTAAGGTTCTTATACACGTTGAAAGGTAAGTTTAGATGTCCTGTTTGAAGCGAGACAGTCCATTTCCATAATCTGTTTTAATCACTCACTCTTGTACACCATCTGGTGACCTAGTGGTAACACTCAGTTTGAAGGGTTGGTACTGGTAGCCTGTTGGGCATACCTACAGTTGGTGGGGCAGTAAGTGAAAAGGAAGGTGATTGAATAGATGATGGCTAGAGAATCTGGGCTTTATGGAACATGCAAAGATTTCTTGTTTTCTGCTTAGGCTGTTGCCATATGTGCAGGATACAGGGATGATAAAACAATTTTGGTTCTGGAAAGTCACATGCAGGTGAACACTGATCCATCTGGGACTGAATGAGACTTGACTTTGAAGACTCATAAAAGACCAAAGTTGAGGAGGTATGGGGAGCATTGACTTTCATGGAGTAGTGCCCAGGATACTGGGTGTTAGGGCTGATTCCTGCTGCTAAAGAGGCTCACCTTTCCTCCTGGTGCCCCAGGTAGCTTCAGCAGCAGTCCCTGATGGCCTTGACAATGGCTACATTTTTTTAAAAAGATTTATGCATACAGGACAGGTACAGGCTAGAGGTATAGGGGTAGTGAGAAGGGTTCACCATAGACGGTGAGGAGCAGGCAGATTGAAAGCAGCATTGCTGGGAGCAGGGAAAAGGAGAGGCCTGCTGCACCATGTTGGTCACCCCTGGCCGGGCATTGAATGAGTGCTAAAACAAAGTGGCTTGGTGCTGTGCTTTCACCTGTTGCACCACCAGGGAGGGCCTGACAGTGGGTACATGTTAGCTTCCCAGTAACCACTTTCTCCATGTTCTGGTGATGAAGTAGATCACAGGGATGGGAAGGAAATATGTATTGTCAGAATGGGGTTCATACATGCTTCTGAAGATGTACATGTAAGTTATAAAGTACATAGCTGCTTATTGTCACCTACTTGAAGTTATTAAAGTCCATACAGCTGTGTTTGCTGACTGGGTATCATTCTGAAAGGCACAGAGCCAGTCATTACCCTAATACCTGGCTTCCCCATATGTGGTGAATCAACAAAGAATGGGCTACTGGGCCTCTGATGCTTTGTATATGCCTCCACCCACTTCAAGGCCAGAAAAAATTTGGGAGCAAAGTGTGTTTAGGTGTAGTTAGAGGATAGGCTATCCTTTCCAAATCAGCCTCTGGAAGGTTCAAGCACTATTTCTGGAAGGGAAGGAAAGGAAGAACTCGGTCCAGTTGTAGGCAAAGTACATGATTGCTTTTGTGGTGGGGTGTTTTCTAAGTAAACTATATAAACCCTTGCTCCAGGGTCGGGTGGAGGAAGCTGATGGTGCCAGTGCTGAAAGGAATGAATACTTGGTAGCCTGTGCTTTTTGTCCTTGTTTAGATGATAGTTGCTCTGAAAATTGCCCTCATTTACAATTTTGTTCCCTCCAGGGACAAAACAACAAACTTTGTAGCCTCCAGCAAAACCACCCTGCTCCCTTTGTATATCTTTTCACTTTTACACCTTGGCCACTAGGTTAGCTATAATCTCAAGGGCAGACCCTCTGTGGATAGTGCTAGGGGAGTCAACAAATAGCTCTGAGGGAGGGAATATCCCACAGTGGCTGAGGCAGGAAGGATGACGCGTTTGGGGGAACCTTCTACCTTAGCAGTGAGTAGTGCTTCACCAATCCTCTCTGGTACTTGGATGTACCACTTAGCTCTGCATGCACTAACAAGGCTGGATGCAGGAAAAGAACACGAAGACAGGATGCGTTTTTCATATTGTGTATAAAAGAATCAGACCGCCCAGGGGGTGTACATGGGGCCACTGCTGGGGAAGATGCCTTATTTGTTCTCCAGGTCAGCCACCAGGAAGGACTGGGTCTCCCGCAGGGCCTGAAGGAGCAGGTCCTTGCAGTTCTGGTCCCAGGCTGGAGCGAAGCCAAAGAGCTTCCTCATCTTGTTTGGGTTGGTGCTCTCTGCTCGGACTGCCTGGTACTGCTCCTCTGTCAGGACGCTCCCATACAGGTTATCCAGCACCGCATCCACCTCTGTGACGCGGTTGATGAGGGCGGCGCGGTGCCGGTCCACAAAGTGTGCTGGGCAGGAGGGAGGAGAACTGGTGAGCTGTCACCCAGGCTCAGTGTGAGGGCCTGTCTGTGGAAACCTGATTTCTCTAGAAATTGCTCTGTGTGTAGCCCCTAAAGGGGTAGGACTTAAGGGGAGCAGCCACCAGGGCTCAGGATAGAGTTGGGTGAATGTAACTTCCCTCCTCCACCAGGCCCAGCCCCAGGAGGTGTGGAGTGAGTGGCTGGGAAGCTCAGCTTGGTTTTCCCCTGTGCAGGGGTGTGGGTGGATCTGGGGAGGCAGGAGGTTGGAGGTGAAAGCATCTATTGTGACTGTACTCTGGGGAAGGGCCTTGATCCAGGATCTGGGGAGGATCCCAGGTGAGATGGGTGTGAAACTCTCACCTTGCTTGGCCTTCATCAAGGGAAGGGCCTTGGCCTCCGCTGACGCTGACGCTGGCGCCGCTCCAGATCCTGTAAATAGTCCAATGGTTCCCTTTCAACTTTACCTCCAGTATGGACGGGGTGAGGGGTCTGAGGGGCGTGGGAGATGCCCTGATCTGAAGCCCAAGTGAGAGGCTGGTTCACGACCAAGCAGGAAGCCGCCCCCCATTCCCAGTAAGAGGATATTTTATTAGAGGGTAGAAGGACCAGGAAGTGAAAGTGTCTGAGGGTCAAACTCTGAGGTAGAGGGATAGTTGAAGAGGTAGCGGAGGAGGCCCCCCTGGCGGGGGCGCGCTCACCCTTGCTGGTGGCCTCTAGGTCCCTCGCCAGCTCCAGCATGCCAATGTCACGCAGCACGACTGCGGTGATCTCGATGCTGTAGTCATCCAGATAGTAACTGACCAGCTTGTCAGAGAGCTCCATGGCGTCCATGGAAAGCAGCTGCCCCCGCGGGATGCGCCCAAAACCTTCACGCAGGTTCACCGAAATAAACTTCAACTTGAATTTCTTTAACTCGTCGGAGCTCAGGTTCTCCAGAGCCTGCATGATGGCATCGCGCGCGTGCCCCATTTCCCCGGGGTTTCACACTGCCGCCGCTCACTCGCGCTGGGGTGTCTTCTGGAGTAGGAAGTTGGCTCAGAGAGGAACCTGGGTCTCCCCGCCTTCTCCCGACTCCACCCCATTGTCCTCGGAGTAGTTCGGTCTCCATGCCTTTGGGGGGCGCCAATGTTGCGTCCTCTGGTCGGCACTGGCGGAATTGCTGGGTGGGAGACCAGGCAAGAGGGCTCATGGGTGGCGCCTGCATTGCCAGGCTTCCACCACCCAACCCAGAAACTTGATCTGCTGAAGCGCTAAGGCTCAGACTCTAGGGATTCTAGAACCCTGAAATCTCTACCTTTACCTTACCTTTCTCACATGTCATGGAATCTCAGATTCCTAACAGCAAGAAACATTTAGCTCCCCAAATTCCACATATAAAGAAGAAATGGGACGTAAACAGGATAGAGAGATGTGTATGCTTTTTGAGTCTCGGTTTCCTCATCTGTAAAATGAGGATAATATTTCCTCACCCACTTAGTAAATATCTCAGCATAACCCTGTCCTGATGCTTCCTGGAAGCCGGAATTGGTTTGCGGAGTAGAATTTTTTTGGGAAGTGAATACAAGAGATTCTTGTAATAGTTGAGAAAATTCTTGACTGGAGGGAAAGGTCATGGGTGGAGACCCACTGGGCACAGAGGGTGGGGGGTGTGTGGCTAGCTAGCATTGCCCCCCACCTTGTGTCCAGAGTTCTTAACTTGCCCTCAGCATGGTCCTTCTGGCCTGGCCTGTGGCTCTCACCAGCTTTACCTTCTCCACACCCTGCTCTCTTTCCTGACTTCCTCAGATACGCTGGCTTCATTGCTTTTCCACAACTTTTCTCGGAACCTGAAATATCTGTTCCTTCACTCAGCTGGACAAACTCTTGAGGTCTCGAGTTAAAATGTCACTTTCTCTGGGGCACCTGGTTTAGAATCCCTCTTAGAACCATTTTTATAACACCTACTAATTCATAGCAATTGTGACTAAATTTTAGCTAACTCAATTCAGTATCAGCCTTCCCTGCAGCTACCAGGCAGGCAAACCCTGCCTGCCAAGAGCAGGGTTAGATCCACAGCCTCTGGAGCGACGTGTGGTGGGTGTAGGCGCTCAAAGAGTATCCATGGAATCAACAGTGAGTGAACGGGCCTGTGGCCCAAGAGGGCAATTGCCTTACATGCAGCGTTTCTGAGGCAGCTTCCAGGAACTGAGAGCTGTGAGGCCGTACAGCTTGACTCTTGGCTCTGCGTCCCCGGTAGGGATTGGTAATCCTCCATGTTCCCCTCTCAGCTGGGTTGTGACAATCATTCCTTCTGGGGGTGCCATCCTGATGTGCAATACATACTTCACTTACTGGGTATCCACTTTCCCGCCTGGCCTCCGGGAGGGCAATCACTCCACCTGGCTCAATCCTGATGACCAGCATCCGGTGTGCGGGGCTCACAGAAGTTTTGCTGTATGAAGGGACAAAGAGGCTGAGTTGCCCACAGCACGTGGCATTCACAAGCTTCTGGCAGAGGGGCCAGATCCTGCAGTCCCTCCTCATGCATGCTGCCCACACAGACCCAGTAGGACTCTGTGAGCACCCTTACATGTGGAGGGCCCCAGCAGCTCAGGCTTCTTCCTGTCCGTTGTCACCAATGTGCGTCTCTGGCAGGAGCTGGCTGGCACTTCAGTTGCTCCCCAGTGTGTTTATCTTTGGCTTCCTTTTTGTCCTGCTCGTTCTCTTTCACACGTTTTGGGAAGCTATCTTGGCTCTTCGATGTTTAGTATTCTCAACAGGAAAATGAATTTTCTTGGCAAGAGTCTTGACCTGTTGGCAACCAGTGCCGACTGCCTGCTGGGTAACACGGTGACATGTTGGTGACTTGGTGACATGTAGGGGGCATTTCTTTTGGGCAGAGCTCATCCCTGGATGTCTACAGTGTTACACTCATGTACTTTCTCATGCATGCGGCCAAAGGAGCAGCTCCATGTTTTCATAAAGGTCAGGAGAGGGGGCACCTCTTCTTTCTCTTTGTGTCGGTTATTTTGGTGGCCGTAATTTTTTTTAAGATTTATTTTTTTATGTATTTATGCATGCAAGAGCTGGGGTGTGGGCCAGAGGTGCAGGGGGTGAGAGGAATTACCAGAGAGTGGGGAGAAGAACAGCAGGTCTACTAAAATAAAGTGCTGTAGGTGAGACAGGAGAGGTCTGCTGCGCCAGGCGGGTCAGCTCTCGGGTGGGGATCAAATTCATGTCGCAGTGGCTGGCTTGCTAGCACTGAGACATAAACCCTGTGCAAGCAGGGAGGCCCAAGGCTTAACATTTCTTATTGCTTTATAACATGTTTCATTTTTTAGATTTATTATACTCCAGACACTGCTAAACAAGCAACATGCCTGACCTCATTAATGCTCCCTGTGAAATGTGTATTTACCAACCTTACAGAGGAGACTGAGATTTTCAGAAATGATTCTGGCAGCCTACACTGTTTGTAAAGAATGAAGTGCAGAATCACGTCCATCTGTCTCCTAGGCCCAAATGCCTGCCCTCAACACTGGACAACTTGCTTGGAGAGATTAAGATAAGGAAATATCAATATATGTTTCTTCCATAAACATGTGGGTGTGATAATGATGATAATATTGCACATGTTAATATTAACAATAATATACTAGTTAATAGTTAATAATGGTTATAATAGTGATGACAAAATTAGCGCAGATATTGCAATCGTGGTGGTAGCATTTACTTCCTCTTTGCAGAATGCTCTAGGACATTAAAAGCATGTTCATATTTTGAAATATCGGGGAAATCAGTTGGGGTGTCTGACTTGCATAAATTCAATTCTTATAGCCTCTACCTTTTAACTGTGTAACTTAAGGAGGTCACAGCTCCCTCTTGGGGGTTTGCCCTACCGAGTGTGCTCACCTCACTGGCCCCTAAGGAGTCAGTGCTCTGGGAAGGGCAGCAGCTTGCTCAGGGTCCCTCAGGCAGGTGGGGGCCGAGCCCACTTCCCTGCCAGGGCGGTTGCCACTGGGGAGGTGTGGAACAGGAACCTTGACTTGCTCACTTGGAAGCCATAGCAATTTCTTCTCCCTACACTCCTCTTTCTGGGTGAAGAGATCAGAAATCTGAGCTTGATATTTCAAGGAAGAATCGCCACATCTCAACTCAGGCCCACCCTGGATCAGGGATCAGAGACGCCTCCCTTGGGACAGAGCCAGGACAGTTGGCAGCGATAAGCTGCTTTCTGGGTGTGGCCCTCACCCTGAAAGGCAACCTTTGATTGCTGGAGCCAGGTTGTCCCCATGGGGCAAGAAAAAGACCCGAGAATGCCAGGAAGTGAGCTCCCTTGAGTTCTCTGTGCCACAGGGGCTCCCTGTAAGAACGGAACAAGGATGGGGTTGTTTTGAAGCTACAAGTGATATTAGCTGTTGTAAGTGCTTTAAGAATTGTGAAGCTTAAATCCAAGCTATTCTGCACAAAATAAATAATACAATAAGGAATAATTCTTATTAAAAAATTTATTTATGCACACAAGAACTGTGGTACAGGCCAAAGGTGTGTGTGGGGGGTGTGAAGGATTCACCAGAGCCAGAGTGGGGAGCAGAACAGGCAGACTGACTGAAATACACTGCTGAGGGGAGAAGTGGGGGAGACAGGAGAGGTCTGCTGTGCCATGTGAGTCAGTCAACTCCCTGGCTGGCTGGGGACCCCTGGGGATAGAACTTGTGCTATAGTGGCTGACATTAGCTTGATAGTGCTGTGTCTTTAACCCCTGTGTCACCAGGGAGGCCCCAGGAATAATTCTTGAAAAAAAAAAAAGAATTGTGAAGTGTTTGCAACAGGCCTCACATAGCAGGTGCTTTTGAGCTTCCCATCTGTGAAGTGGGGATGATGTTATTGACCTTACGGGCTATAGGGAAGATTCACTGGAACAATTTGTAATAACTGTGATAGTAGCAATTACCAATATCTACTGAACATTTTTTATGAGGACTTTACAAGAGCTAACTTGTTGAACTTTACTAATGACTGGTCTCTCAGATAAGCATGACCAAATTTGTCTTTCTCCCATCTCTTGTAATTTCCCCTTGTTGGACAGGTTTGTCTCCTTGCATTTTAAGGAAAAGGGAGTTAAACAGCAGTTAATTTTTTTAAAAGATTTATGTATTGGGCCCTCCCTGGTGGCGCAGCGGGTTAAAGCACAGCACTGAGAATCTAAAGCCGCTTCCGAATGAGTTCGATTCCCGCCTGCCCCGGAGGTGACCACATGGTGTGGCAGACCTCTCCTGACCCGCCCGCGGCTCCCCTCAGCAGTGTACTTCGTCAGTCGGCCTGTTCTGCTCCCCACTCTGTCTCTGGTGAAGCCTCTCACCGCCCCTGAGCCTCTGGCCTGTACCCCAGTTCTGTACGCACAAATAAATAAAACTTTAAAAAAAAAAAAAAAGATTTATGTATTTACACATTTATGCAAACAAGAACTGGGAGGTTGGCCAGGGGTGGGGGTGGGGGAGACCGAGTGGGGAGCAAAACAGGCGATCGACTGAAATACACTGCTGAGGGGGGAAGCGGGTGAGACAGGAGACATGTTTGCTGACATGTGGGTCAGCTCCCTGGCCAGCTGGGGATCGAACTTGTGCTGCAGTGTCTGGCAATAGCGTGATAGCTCTCCTTTAACCCCGTGCCAACAGGGAGGCCCTCAACAACAGTTGTTGAAGAAAGCAAGGTGCTGCCCAACCGTCTCCTGCTGACCCCTGACCCCCTCCCCTTTGCAGACCCTTGTCCTATTTTCCTGCTTTGTATAAATAACCCCGCACACTGCCGAGAAGCAGGATAATGGATTTCAGACACAAGTCTGATGCCCTCCGCATTTGTCAGCAAATTAAACCACTTTCCTTTTCTTCAAATTCTGTTTCCTTTTATTGGCTGCGGGAATCTGAGGCTGGTGTTGGGTATCACTAACAGTTCAATAGTCTTGATAATAATTCTGACATGGTCCCAATTTTATGTATGAGGAAAGCT